ATAAATATAACCTGTCGTATATGTCATGTTCTTTTTATTCGTTTGATTTTTTTTTTTTTTTTTTTTTTGTTTAATTCTGTATATGGCCAAAGAGGTTGTTGTTTGGGTATACCATTTGGCAGGGTAACCTATTATACGCAAAATTAAATATACCACCTAAGTCTGTTATATGTATGTTCTTTTTATGTCGTTTTGATTTTTATTTTATTTCTTTTTTTTTTTGTCTAAAAACTTTCTTCTTGGGTAAATACATAAAACACAAAATGGTTCTAAACGGTCAACCAAAATTGTTTAAAATATAATTTATTTTTTTATTGTCTTGGGAAAATGTTATTTTTTTAATTCACATGCAAAATCCTATTCTTTCTCTCTAAATAATTTTAATAATTTTTTATGAAATTTATTTTAATAATTATAATCATATTTATAGTTTTAAATAGTCGCTTATTTTTTTTTTTTTTTTTTTTTTTGTCTAAAAAACTTTCTTCTTGGTAAATACATAAAAAAAAAATGTTCTACGTCACAATTTTTAAATATATTTATTTTTTAATTGTTTCTTGAAAATGTTATTTTTTTAATTCATGCAAATCTATTCTTTCTCTCTATAATAATTTTAATAATTTTTTATGAAATTTATTTTAATAATTATAATCATATTTATAGTTTTTAAAATATGTTATAATGTTAAAAATCAAGTGATGGGAATTTGAAAAAATTAATTAAGATAAAAAAAATGAAAATACATAAAATAAATTGTCTCTGTACATAATAATATGTTAAGCGAGAGTCCAAATTACAAAGTAGTTAACTAAGATCAGATCATTTTAGTAATGATAATATTAAAATTAGTTTTTATAGTTAGTTTATTTACTTTTTTTTTTTAATTTTGAGAAGATATAGTTAGCTTATTTACAATATTAAAGAAAATAAATAATTAAATATATTTTTTAAATAGGAGAATTAATCTTTTTGTTTTCTTCCGTCGTTTTACCCATAGAAAAACAGAGAACATGTTAAAAAGTGAGGAGAAGGGTGTCCAATAAGTGAGAGTAGAAACGTTATCCAAAGATAAAATGGAACATATAGAAAGAGAAAATGAATGCACAGCTCAGCTGTAATAAGTTTTTATTCATACACGTCACTTTCCGTTATTTGGCAGCCCACTTCCTTCCTTATATTGTTCTTTTTTCCAAAAATAGCCGCCACGTAAACCAATTACAATGCTCCATTTGGTCAACTATTTTGGATAAATCTTATCGATATTGATGACAAATGCTCATTGTTTATTCGGACTTTAATAATGATTACAATTAAAATATTAATATAAAATTATCGTTAAATTTGTGTTTGATAGTTTTTTTTAAATAGATTTTAACTTTTTGATTAAATATTATTTTTCGTCTTACTTGACAATTTTAACTTTTTTTTAGTAGATGTTAGCTATTGTATTATAGTAGCTGTTAGTTGTTTTATTAGCTGTTAGATATTAGCTATTAGTAGTTAGTTGTTTACATAACAGTTTAAAATAAAAGTGTTTAATAAAAATAAGTATTTGATTAGCTGTTTAATATAAAAAGATAAAAAATGATAATGTCATATAAAACAAAACAAAGACAAGTTATGGGTTTAAACTTGATAAAAAATATATAAAACGCTAAATATTAAAGAGGATATCGTTTTTTGAAACACTGCTTTAAATTTTAAAGGATAGATATGGAGTTATGAACACAATAATTAATTAAAACAATATTTTAATCCAATTAAAACACTAAACACTACTCCAAATGCTCTTGTCGAACAAAACCTTTATAGTTTCGGTAATATAAGGTTTGATTAGCTTTTAGATATCAACGTAACGTTTAGCTTTTAGGATATGCCCGGAAAAATTAATTGTTTTGGTAGCTGTTAATTATTTTAGTAGTGTTTAGTTGATACCTGTTTTAAAATGCTAAAAGATAAATATTATATGTGTTAATTTTTTTATAAAATGTTACTTTAACCTGCGACACTATGTTACCAAACCCTATAAAAACTGACTTTTAGTATTTTACTAATCAAAATATTAAAAGCTATTTAAAAAACTGTTGTCAAAGATCATCTTAACGTTTTATGAAAAGCTATTCAAATAATTAAACTATGTTGAAACTATTAACACTTCATAAAACATGTGTGCCGAAGTACCTTAAAAATATAATCCATCCGTTTTATCGCTTTTGTCCGATTTAACTTACACACAGATTAAGAAAATTTTTATTATACTTTTAGTCCCTCTATTTACCAAATAATCCTAATCAAATATGAGATCTACGTGCAATTTCATTTTTTTTTAATTATGAAATTTATAAAATTTTCTTAACACGAAAGTATTTTTGTTCCCTTCTGTCAACAGTTACAACTTTATTTTCTTAATATTATTAGTTTATGTTCGTATATTATTAAAATTAAAAGACTAATGGCTTCAGTTGCTTTTTGCATTTGATAAATGTTTATATTACTCTATCCGTCCAAAAAAGATAGTCCAATTTCTATTTCTACATAGATTAAGAAAGTAATAATTATTATGTTTATTTATATAATTTTCCTATTATGCTCATCTTAAATAGCACATGAATGATCACTATATTAGAATAATTAGTAAAAATTAATGAGAGTTATTAAAAATAAGATAAAATTTAATAAGGATAAAATGGACAATTTAAAAATTAATTATAATGTAAAAATGAAAAGTGAATTATATTTCGAAATAAATCACAAAAGAAAAAGACGCAGGGAACAGTAGCTAAGTTACCCTTTACGGTAGCGGGTCAATTTATTTGTCAACTATACAATTTATTGACCCAACTTGGAATGAATTTATATATAAAAAAATTATATATATTCAAAATTTTTAAGAAATTATAATCTTATTTGACACGAAATATTTTCAGTCGGTCAACTTGATGTATAATCTCATTTGCTTTCCTTAAAAACACCTAATTTAAATCCGTCAAAAGTAAAAACGACACAATAATTTGGATTAAAAAAATAATTTGATCTAACCTCTTTAACTCCATTTATAATTAAAAATAGCAACAGAATAAATACGGGCACAAAATCTAATATTTATATGTGTTTCATTATTGAATTGAGTATAAATTTAAAATTTTTTAAATTAAATTCGAGTATAAAATTTTTAAATTTTTAAAATTTTGAATCTACTAAATTTTATCGAGTCGAGTTTTCAACCTTTTACGGTAGAGATGGAGTGGACTGGTCTACACCCATAACTGCAGTATCGGAAGAGTCCAATATCCCAAGTAACATGTTTTGAAAAGAAAAAGAAAATAATGGTTTGACCTTGACCAGTTATTTATCATCAAATTCAAATCAGAGGTTCTTAGAAATTTCCACAATCCACGCATTCATCGAAACGAAGAAAGATGTCCCATCGAATGTTGTTGTTTTCAGAGTTGCCCTAACCCCCAGTCCATGCTCCAAGACTGCCCTTCAAAGACGGGTCGTCATCGTATTCCTTTCTTTTCTACAATTTCACGATCAATCCAAATTATTTAATTTAATTCACTAATTAAGAAAATATTTTATTCTGAAAAAATTAGATTATGATAAATCATAAAAAATAATAGTTACTAATACTGTTTTTTTGAGGGTTGCCATTAATTACAATCATTACCATTTCTTTGACGAAAATCTACACTTTGTTTTCTCATTCAATCTAAATTTATGTGAGCCTGAAAATAAAATTATTTTTAGGGTACCAAATGTTAGCTTTTACTTTTCCTCATCATAGTTTATGATATTCGGTCCATTAATCAATTTTTGTGAATATTTTTTTCTATAAAATTCACGTATTCATAAATTTTCATATTAAATAAATTGTCTTATGTTTTGGTCGTACAACAAGAAAATAATAATAATTAATCTCAAATTAATTTAAATCAGTGGCATGAATCTTTTATTTCATTTTGCTTTATTTGTAGTCACATTTTCACTAACGTCGAAAAACAATAAATTTTTGTGATTTTAAATCTCTTACAAGATAGACCAACCAATGCAAATGTCTATTTTCTCGGTCCCATGATGTTTGTCCATATTTTCATTTTTAGATATCTTAAAATATTTATCTGATTCGAGATATTTACTTTTTCTTTTATGCCCTTTATTATAATTGATTTTGGTGGAAATTTTTAAAAATAACCATTTTATTTTAATGGATGATTTTGAAAAATAGAAGATATTGTTACAATGTAACACTATAATTATTTTATTTCTTGAACGGAAGATTTTAAGACAAAGGTAGGATATTTTCTTGTTTTTCATTTTTATAATTTTTCACGTGAAAAAGATAAAATTTCAAAATTTGCAAGGAATTATTAGTATATTTACTTTGTTGCTACTGAAGATTAGGGCATTGAACAGATTGTAAAACTTTGTTGCTATGATATTGATAGTTGTTATATAACATTATTTCAAAACCTCGTATATTGATTTACTAGTGTAAGAATCTCGAAAATATCTATTGCTGAAATGTTGCATACTTTTTACTTAGAAAACATTAAGGAAAACAATAAAAGAAAAATGAGCCAAAGAAATGAAAATAAAAATTTTCCTTCATTTTCCCCAACATAATGCAAAAATAGCTAAACCTAGTTTTGCATGTGTCAATTCCTATCCATATCAATAATTACAATATTACGAAGTTATTCAAATATATATGTATATAAAGAATTCATTGGGAATCAAATTAAAAAATGGAATCCTATACCAGAACAGAATCACTTTCTGTTTTTAACTTCATTCAAAGTCATAGAATTTAGTAGATGATGATGAAGCTAACATGACATACCCACAAAGATAAGATGAGGAGAGGACCACACATACCATGGATCAAAAACTTGATATTTATAATGCTTGGTGTCCTATTTGATGTTTGTCTTTTAGTGCTTGTGGTATTGGAATGGAGGTAATAAATTTTCAGATACCCTTAAACTGAAAATGACTTCTTTCTAACATCAAGTAATTAAAATTTGCTTCTTTTGATTCTCCAAATCAAAACTCAATACAAAATCGATTCCCTTCGGATTAAAGGGAAACTGATAGAGCCTAGATACAAAAACCTCCCAAGAGGAAAAAGTAAAAATTTAGAATTTAAATAATAATAATAATAATAATTGCTATGGAGAAGATGGTTCATTACAAAACAAAAACAATTGCATATACCTCAGCGAACTTAAAACTGAGAGTTGCTAAGGAAAGTTACCATGCATCTAGCACTTTGGAATAATTTATCTACTCTCTGCCAAACTGCACATTGAGTTTCTAAAAGCTTCCTAGCTCTATCTTGTAATTTTGATTGGCATCGTATCGTTTCACCATGAATCTGCACAGAACAGGTAAGGTGTTAGTACATGACAGTTTTTTCAGCCCATAAAACCACCAAACATTTGGGGATATCAATAATGATATTTTTATTTTCTTCAATTTCATGCATACGACATCACAATAAATTCTAGGGTGAGTTCAAGGATTTTTCTTCAGAAAAACAATCCTGAACCTACAAAAGTTCACTTTACCATTGTTTATAACCAACACAATTTTCCAGCAAACAAGAAAATACTTTACTAGAATTGAGCACAACAGTAGGAAGACTGCCATACCTTTAAAAATAATCTAATAACAGCTTGGATGAACTCAAAATTGTTTCTGCTAGATATCTCATGTATGAAATAATCAAGCAGCAGTTCAATTGAAACAAATTCAGGTCTCTTTTCTAGATCTTGCTGATCGTCTTCATCTATTATCTGCAGCATTCGAAGTTCCATATCCAAAGTTGATGGAGACAAACCTTTGATATAATCTGTAAATGCTGAAACTGCAGAATTGTAAATGGTAGAATCGTTACATCACCGATGTGTCCCTGATAATACTAATATAAAAGAACTTCTATCTGACTAATATAAAAGAACAGTATACAGAAAGGACGAGAATGCACACAATTCTCTGTCTTCACAGAGGACTGAAGGAGTTGCATAAACTCTGATGACGGCACATCAAGTTTTTGGTGGTTGTTCTCCAACTCATCAGCTTTTGCATCTTTCTCCACATTTATTGGGTCACTAGGTTTAAATAAAATTTCTCCAGAAAGAGATGGAATTGAAGGCAAGAAAAAAGGTGCGCTTTCAGGTTTCTTAGGAGGCTCAACTGGCTTATTGCGTATCTGAAATTCATTAAACCAGATATACAGAAATAATTATATTAAACACAAGCATGTTGTATTTTATACTTGAAAGTGCAATGTCATATATATAAAAAGAAAAAAAGAAGACCTTTATAATGTCCAAGTTGATCAAGCCCTGCCATTGGCTTTTAGGCAACAAAGAGAGAGTGACAAGTTCTGGTATTTGCTGGATGAATGCTGGTGAACTGAAAGATCCAAACTGTTGCAATTGCTTCTCAATCGGCTTATCAGAGTCCTGAACTTGAGAACTTTCTATAGAGAAGACAGATGGCAATTTTACATTCACAACATCTTTCCCACTTGCATAAGAATCAACACTTGAAGCCCCAGAGAACATTGACTGATTAACCCTGAAATTCCAAGCTATTATTCATAAGTCTTCTTTTTCTTTTCCATTTCAACAACATAAACATAGAACATAAGAAATATTTATAGTAATTTTGAAACCAAAAGAGATACATTGGAAGTACATGTCATAAGGATCTGTAAAAAAGTTAACAGGCACAAGTGAAAGATATTTTAGGCTGAATGCTTTAAGGCAGTCAATTTTGATATTAGATTATCAAATATTAAGGTCGTACCATAATCTTTACTCATTCTTAAGATCTTTCACACAGCCCTATAGAGAAGCTAACAGGATAGCTCCCAAATTATGACATAGGTCTCCAAACAGAAAATTAAAGACTTACCATAAATAGACACCATTTTGATCAACATGGGTAGTCGCCAATATATCTAAATTTGGTGATAGAGACAATGCAGTAATAGGCATGTCAACACGTATAGCATCTATTTGCCTGGCCAAAATCACATCCCAAATTCTAAGGGTCCCATCCATACTGGATGACAAAAGCCATTTCCCATCCTCACTAAAACATAAATCTGTAACACGGTCAGAGTGGCCTTCAAATTTGCGAACCATTCTTAATGCCACAACATCAAACAAACGGATAACTAAATCATCTGCTACGGTAGCCAAAAGACCTGGGAGATTATGACAACAATTTGATTAGAGCATTAGATAAAAGAGGGTGGGAGAGAGATGAAAAACACAATTGAAATATTACACTAAAAAAAACAAAGCATTACCATTAAGACGATGATAAACAGTCTTAACCAGAGTACAACCAATTTCCCATCTAGATTTTAGTCCACGTCCTTTGAAATCCCAAACCTGCGTAGCATCACCAGTGAGAAATGAAACTTTCCAGCAAATTCAGCTGCAACTAAATCAAACTACATGAATATTTGTGTGTATAAAAAATCAATCAATAGCATAAACAGAAAAGGCACAATGTGCGTCAACAATTTTAGATTGAGAGAAAACATATAATAGATCTCAAACATAACAAAATAGGGTATCCATCTCCACCTGCACCATGAATGCGGGTCAATTATAGACCATCTTACCATACCAAATTGGTAACTTGATCAAGTAGGATGCTCCTCATATTTTGATTAAACCACCATCAAATTTCTTAACGGCCTATTATATGCCACTGCTAACTTGCTTCGTTTGGGACAAGTTACTGTATTAGCACTTGCCCTTTTCTTTATAGATTTACAATGTTTCCCTTTTTGCAGAGTTTCACAAAAACGTTAGGGATACACAAGTAATTCATCTTGCGAAATTAATTTTTCAATTCTCCATAATATACAGGATTGCTTTCTATAGCTCAGGAATATATTCTTCCTCCCTTTATATTTTGGGGTTTTTTCCGCTTTTTTTTTTTTTTTTTTTTTTTAAAATTCTCTGATCTATTTGATTGTTTCCTTTCCTTTTGACCTTTTTCTTTTTTCCAACTAAAGTGAGTCTAGAAGTTTATCCACTATCAATTTTACTTCCATGGTTAGAAGGGGAATCTTATTACTCCATGCGCAATATTTGCAGACAAATTCATTTGACACGTGGATTTTTCGAAAGAGCCATGATTGTACTCTCCAGAGTGCATGCTGTCAGGACGTTTGCTGAGAAAAAAATTGGTGGACCAGCCATGATCCCAAGTGTAAATTCTTCCTTCAATTTACTAGCTAACTATCCAACATACCAACACTACTAATACAATACAAAGACACTGAAAAAAATAATTCAGAGAATGGGAGTGTCTAGACATGTTACAGAAGCAGGTCTCAGATATCGATACCCTCTGCAACTACCTACCTCTCTAGTTCACAGTCAAAAACTTCTACTTCAAATTTCTATCATTATATTATAATTACTGTAAAACAATGGTACAATGGTTCCTCTTCTGAACACCCTGTGACATCCCTTCCATTGGAAAAAAAGAGGAGAAACAGAAAAAAATAAAAAGAAAAGAGTAATGCTCAATTTACCGCCTAAACCTGCATGGAATATATAATTTACCTAAAAATTAAGTTTTTGGATCTTTGAGGACCAATTTTGACCAGTCCTTGGAGAGCGAACGACACAATTCCTCTATAGAGGATGAATGAAACTTATCAATAATAGTTTATTTATAAAAATTGTAAATTCCAAGTGATAGAGCTCCAAATCGATTCCACCTCTACGACCATTATTCCCAAGCAGCCATGACTTATACCATTCCTTGAGTCTGAGCACAGCGTCTAGATCTGCTGTCTTAGACAAAGAAATGGTGTTTTTGTCACACACTACTACATAACATTTTTGGGACAGAGAGACTCTAGAGCCAGGAGAAGAAAAAAAAAAAAAAGAGCACCACTCATAGAAAACTAGCACCAAAAGGGCTTCACTCAGGCGGTTTATTGTTGTATCGACTGCATTGATGCCAGAAGCCAATTATATTCTCTCATTTATTGAGAGTTTTATAACAAAACTTGTATGAGATTTCTTATCACCCCATTTCTTGATTTGGGTCTTCGAGCCCCCAAACTTTGTTGTCGTTTTGGCAAAGTTCAGAACCAGAGTTCATGATATCAAAAAGTACTACTCAATCTTTCTCTGTTTCAACCGATTATGGACTTGAAATCTCTCCTCCTAATTAGATATTCTAATTTATCTTTGCAAAATTGATATGCAGGTGAAGTTGGAAATCTCAGTTTGGAAAAGGAATACAAGAATACAGAGCTGGAAATCTTTAGGGGATTTCATTATCGTCAGTTTGACAGATTAATTTTAAGGAGAGAGAAATGAAGATCTGGGTTCTGGTGTCTTCGTATTAAGCTAAAGTTTCAGACAGAAAATATCTACAGGGCTGGCTTCAAAAGTATCTTCGGATCCATGTATTCTTGTTTTATCTGGCAAAAAAAAAAAAAATGCAGATATGGTGAAGATTGCTGCTATGGCTATGAATTTTTTTTTTTTTGGTTTGGGGGGGGGGGGGGGGGGGGTCCATATCGATATTAAAGCCTTAAGTTTCCAGACAGAAAATATCTACAGGGCTGGCTTCAAAGTATCTCGCGATCCATATATCTCTTGGTTTTATCTGGCAAAAAATTATATAAAAATGCAGTCAGATATGGTGAGAATTGCTGCTATGGCTATGAATTTTATATTATTTTTCGTGTCTTGGGGGGGGCGGGGGGCAGGGGTGCACGGGGCGACGAGCAAGGTGGTAGATGATGGTCGTCTGAGGTAAGATCCATTGGTTGACGAGTTACTTATTCTTCTCCTGTTGTAATTTGGACCGTGATCATTTCACGCCAATACGCACATTTTCCAGACCATATCATAGCCATAACAATGCGTCTACTTAACTTTTTCATGCTAAGTATCTCAATCGATGTTTAATTGAAACTTGCAGTGGTTGCATAGCCTCCTGAAGAACCAACCTTGCATTACCTTTCATCTGTCGCATCGGCAAGCTATGAAGTTCATGAAATAACAAGTACTTTAACAACCCTTGCATCCTCTCCCAATCTTAACCCTAGTACCACTGCCAAGGAGGACATCAAGTAAGAAATGCCCTCAAACTACAACATTTCTAATAACTTTTCCCATCTCTTCTTATTCATTGATGCAGTTTTGGTATTTCTACAATTCTTCCAGAAATCAGAATTAATCTTACACAGAGCAACAAAATTTAACACTTGCGTTAGAATCATGTTCTCAATGTGATACTTTATCAAAATACAAAGCCAGTTCGCTTGATCAAAGAGGCCCGTCAGCTACCAACGTATCATACAAATATATGCTGTCCTTATGCAATAAACGAGCTGCACACACAAGCTGCACCAGAGTCCACACACGTAACACAAACTGGCAGCACACTCTTGCGATAAGTTAATCAACTGATAAACTTGCTCAGCCAGCATCCGTAGAGGAAGCTACGTATGCGACTTCAATAGAGAATCATAAACCATTTGAGGCTGAACGGGGGGAGGGGTGCACGGGGGGTAGTGATGGTGGTGGTAGAATTGGTGACAGTTGATTATTTTTCTGTTGAATTTGGAGTGACATTCACGCACACATTTCAGCCAAATAGCCAATAAATGCGTCTAATTTAACTTTTTATGCAAGATCCAAATGTTTAATTGAATTGAGTGGGTTTATAGCCTCCAAACCAACCCTTATTACCTTTTCATCTGTCGATGATAGTCCTATGAAGTATGAACTTAACAACCTTGCATCCCTCCCAACTTAACTTCTTGCAAGGAGAGAAAAGTAAGAAATGCCAATACAACATTTCTAATAACTTTTCCATCTTTCTTATTCATGATGCAGTTGGTATTCTAAATTCTTCCAAAACAGAATTTTAATTTAAACAAAAATTTAACATTGGTTATGAATTATGTCTCAATATATTATCAAATACAAAGCCATCTGATCAAAGAGGCCGTCAGCTATACATATATGCTGCTTATGACAAACAAGGCACACAAGCACAGCCACACGTAACAAATGGAGCATTGCGATAAGTTATAAACTGTACTTGCTCAGCAGATGAGAGGAAGTTACATAGACTTAATAGAGATATAAACCATTTTTGAGTGAAGCAATTTCCTAAAAGTTAAAGTTACGCGCAACAGAAGATATGCTATAGTAATATCTCAGTAATCAATATAGCAAACAGTTCTACAATGCAGCTGCTGAAAGTGGTTATATAGATGGGTTAGTTGTGCATGCTTATAAGATGCAATATATTGGGACAAAAAGAACTAACCTTTACATCACCGTGATATCCTGCACTTATCATCAGGGTATTTGTCGAATCACAAGCAAGTCCAACTACTTCTCCCTCATGTGCACAGCTTCCTCTTTCTGACACATCTACGAAACTGCCTCGGCTAAGCCCTGATTGAAGATTGAACCTTTCTATCCAACCGCCTGCTGTCCCTACGACAGCAAAATTGCCACATGCACTGATGGCACAGGCCTGGGACATAATAAAACATTCACCAACAAAAGATTTGCATTATTTCCAAAAGACAACATTGTAGGATTCAAAAGTTTCAAATTTTACTAAAAATAGATATAGGAAATTTCTATTGAATATGAAGAAGAAAATAAGCCACCAACTCATGTGCTATAAAGAAAAGTGATAGATAAGGGTTAATTCTCTTATTGAAATTACATGAAACAATTAATGAAACTAGTAAACAGATTGTGGATCTAACCTTGACAGGATTCGGATTTTCTGGGCAAGGTCTGAGGATATGCTCACCAAGAACAAAATTTTGAAGCCTCCATACATAGGCCTGTGCAGTATCCATATGACATGTAACCACATTGCACCAATCCCGCTCCCTAATTTCAGCTGAAATTGATTTTTGACAAACATAATGAGAATTTTAACTAATATAAACACACAAAAACATACATAATAAAGAGAAAACTAACGGGTGATTGATCGATTCAAATTTTGTTAGAGCCCAAAGAAATATTTCTCTACTATTTCAAGATAGTACTGCAGGAACTTTCTGAATTTCAAAAGAATAAAAATGAAACGAAAGAAAAATAAACATAATTTCAAAAATAAAATTGCAATCCTTAGGAACTTAACAAACAGATGGACTCAGTATATGCCTCTAATAATGATTGCATACAATATCCCCTCAAAGAAATGATATAAAATATTAGCCTGCAGAGGCTCAAATCTTCTTAATCAACTCAGCAATCTTTAGAAGCAAAATAGAATTACGATTTTACAATGTTCCCACAACATATACAGGGCTTCCAATCACAATTTCATGGCCAATCGCCCTGATCAAATATTTGATTGAGAAACACTTTTGAAATTTAATAGAGACTAAATCAGATGTAGTCATTAGAGATCAAGACAAATCCCACAGATATAAACTTTACAAACAAGTTGGAAGAAAGGAATAATTAAATTTGCGCATTCTCACAAAAAAATGGTTCCTTGAAAACACTATTATTACTCCAGAAACCCCCCATACCAAAAACCCAGAGCAGTCTCCTTTCAAAATTCATGAGCAACACGTAATTATTAGATCTCTCTTCAATTACTTTCCATAAGCCAATGCCACAGGGATATTGACAACTTTATTACATCCAACACAGATGCCATCTCCTGTGTTTAACCTCTAGGCGATCTTCATATTGTATCCTTTTTACACATCTCTCTTTTGATCCATTTTCCTGATAAAAAGCTATTGATCATAGTTGAATCTCAAACCCCTACTTAAGAGTTGCAAATACCCTTGTACTAAGGGGTGAAAATCCAGACCACTAGCAATGCCCAAGGAAATTTTCTTTATACCTTTTCAATCCCATTAGTTATGGACTAAAAATGACAAACACGTATGAAATAAGTACAAATGCCAAATAACATACTCTCGAAACAAATATATTGCACTTTCTAAACTGAAATCATCCCACAATCCTTTGCCTTGAAGCATTCAGTGCATCCAATCAGGTCCAAGGCAGAATTTCCTTTATATTCTAATTTAGCATTATCACCCACCTTTCATCTCCACTCTTCACAAAACAGATATTCAATCTGAAGACCAGCTCAACAATGGAGCACGTATCTCAATTATAACAGATAGTCCTCAACATCAAAAGAAATAATGTCATCAGCGTAAAATACATGAGATACACAACTGAATTAGATCTTGAAGACTAACTTTGACATCACAGTGTTTAAAGATAATGTTGTTAACTCTTCCAAAGCACCAGAAAGGATACAAGGATAACCATTCTCCAAAACTGATAAGGAAAAGAAAAATCATTAACTAATTTTCCAAATTTCCCAACCCTTTCTCAATCACATGAATAAAATCACTAACTGATTCTTTAATGTTTATTTCACAGTGACCAACTTACGAATAATTCTATGGGTTTTGTTACTGATTCTAGAGTCAAGAAGTTCCTCCGCAAGCTGCATAACACTAAATATTTACCTTACCAAAAGGGCAATAAGCTTGAAGAGATTTCCTATCAAACCTACCATTCTAAAATCTCCAAATGTCATAGCATTATATTATTCAGAATAAAGCCTATTGACTTTAGCATTGCATTTTAAATTGATATTGAGACAAGCATCTGTTCAGATGCTTTTGCAAACAGAAAATTGAAACTGACAAAGTACTCCTGAAATCTTTTAGAATTTTATGGCGAAAATAACCCATTCAAACCTTAAATGCAATTTTTAAGTTGCTCACAATCAAAACAGCCTAGAGTGCTTTTTCTCCATAGTAGTTACAACAACAATACTAACCAAATCTTATGGACAACGTGTCAAGCTTCTCTCTGGAGTTTTCTGGTAAAAGAGGTCAAGTAATCCCAGATCTCCTTTCATAATATTCTAGAAATGAAATGTCATAAACAAGCCCTGGTAATCTCATCTGCATAACAACCGTACCAAAAGAAAGTTCACCAATAATTCAATTCCATCACAAAATTATACCTTACTTGACAATTCTATATCACATCAACATATTGAATTTATCAAAAGACAATTGTATCTTTAGACTCTTATATCTTGAGATTCCTTCTAGACATGAAGGAGGAAGGATTTCTTATATTGATGGGAAGTCAACATCCCAAAACCCCTCCTCATGCGGGTTCAATTTATCAAGTAGATTTTGTATGAACAAGATAATATTTACAAACCACAAGCCCTTATAAACCATTTTTTCCACTAGAGTAAGCCTTAAAATTATCATTTGTATTTTTGTGGGGGTTGCTGGAGGGCCGGGGGAGTGACAGATTCATATAGGACAACTGCTTCAAAATTTAAGAACTAAACTAGCATATGCTGCTTTTATGAGTTAGACATAATACTATCAGAGCTGTACATCTAGAGTGAATCAAGAATAAGCAAATAAAAAAATGACATTATACTTCATTGGATGATAAGTTGTGTTCAAGAAAATAAGCATTGTAAACATAAAGGTAGCGGCACCAATGTGGTTTACTAATAAATAACCCATGATCCAGAAAATAGATCCTACTGCAATATAATTAAAAACATCCATGTAAAAGACCAGGAACTAAAAGCACCTAAAAAGATCACACCTAGAGAAAGATCGTACCACAATCAAATGCAATAACAGGCCTCAATTTCAACTCTTCTTCCTGCAAATTTAAAGCAAAAATGAAAATTGAGGTATGGTGAAATAACATTTCTTTTGGCAAAGAAAATGATTACTAGTAACTTCCAAAAACGTAAAATAGAAATAGGAAGAATCATGTTACATGGACTTCTATACAAGTTCCATGAAAAATGCACTAATAGATTTTAAGAAATTAAACATGGATTATACACATGTTTAAGTAATGTTACAAGCATCCCCAGATTTACAGACAGAGTACCTACAATACAAGAATATGAACAGTTTATAAGCAAGACCGAAAGTAAATAAATGATAAATGTACAACCAGAATCCAAGATATGCACAACACTTTGCTAAACCAGACTGACATACTGGCTTTTATCAAGACCATACCTTCACCCTAAGTTTCTTTGCCCGCTTAGATACATGGCGTTGGGAAAGCTCTCTACTTTGCTGATCCTGGTGGCAATATTAATTAAAGACGAATAAATAAAATACCAAATTATTAGAGATTGGGGGAGAACAAAAAAAATAAGCACAACTACACCATATACAACAGATACACACCTGAGAACAACCCTAACGAATGACTATAACTGATCATCTTTGTACAGATAGATATGTGTGTAATGAATGAAGTTTTCCATCAGAAAATAATGGATTCGAAAGAAAATAGTATTTTCTCTTTCATTTGCATTTTCTCAGTCAGCATTTAAAACTTCAGTGTTCTAATGTAGAACAGCTTGATAAGCAATTACATAGAAGGAAGAAAGAAGAGGACAGGGGCAAGCGTAGGAGAGAATAAAACATAGAACTGAAGAGAACCAAAGAATAAAAGTAACTTTAGCATCTCTATTCAACAGTCAATTCCAGAATTCAGCCTAGTGCTCAAAATAACCTAAGTCTAGATAAAAGCATACAAGGACATACTACGTGAATCCCTAATAAAATCTCTGAAATAAATAATAATACAAAAAGCAATATTCCCGCTGTCCCAACAAGCTTGTCCACTATTTTTTTTTCAAAAGTCCAAAAATACATGCCCACTCTTACAAAGTAAAAAATTATTTTCCTATTCTATCCCTTAATTAATTTTTCATATAAAAAGGTTCATTTATTCTGGCATCAGTAATATGTAAAGGATTATGTGAAAAAGACAAGGTGACACTTTTTAGACCGACAGAGTAAATAATATTACTAATTATAGGACCTTTGTCAATCACATGATGAAATCAATCAGAGTTCCATTTTTTCCATGCAATGGCTAGAGATCACTGTAAAAATCAGTGTTCCTCTTCACAAAGTGGTCTTAGAATTTATTGGAATCAAATTAGAAAGGAGGACATAAAAGGAAGGGTAATTAAAGTTAAGTATTGGAAAATGCATATGCAAAAGGGGGAAATAGTTTGAATTGAATGTCAGCCAATATCAAACCTGGATGATAGAGAAGAGACGGAAAGCACGATCCTGCCCAGCAGATAGAATGTGTCTCCCATTTGCATAGAACCTGTTGTAGATGAGTATATTTTTAGAACAACACAAAGATTTAATGTGAAAATGCAAAGAAATCCATATCAAATATTTAAATAACACATGAGATAGATACAAAAAGAGTGATTCTTCCAGCAAAGTGGAAGTTATATTGAACTCATGGGCAAATGTTGGTGGAAACTGGAAGGTACTGTGTAATATGAGAAACGATTTAGTAGGCATAAAAAATAAATCCAAGAAGATGGTCAATTAAAACGTAGAAAGGAAGAAAGATGAAAGCACCCAAGTACATGGATGAATAAGTTGATAAATGTCAATCCCAAGAATTAAAACGCATACATGGATTAGCACTATACCTTATGCAATGTGGAGGAGCACTGTGTCCACTTCGGAAGCGCAACAAGCGAGGATCTCCATCACTAGTGTCAAAAATCCACATCTAAACAATAGAATAAAAAAAAAAAAAAAAAAAAAAAAAAAAAAAAAAAATTCCAGCAAAAGATGGAGTCTATCATTGAACTTCATGGGGCATAATGATTTGGGTGGGAAACTGCGAAGTGGTTACTGGTCGTTAGATATTGAGAAACGATGATAGTCATTTAAAAAATATAATCCAAGGCAAGCCCATATGGTCCAATTAAAGACCGTTTAGAAAGGAGAAAGATGAAAAGCACCAAATGCTACATGGATCTGGAATAAGTTGGAATAAGATGTGTCAATCCCAAGAATTTACAAAACGCACTACATCGCGACACTATAGCACTATACCCTTATGCCAACTGGTGTAGGAGCACTGCTGGTCCCACTTCGGAAGCGCAACCAAGCAGAGGATCTTCCATCACTAGTGTCGAAAAAACTCCACATCTAAACATTAGAAATAAAAAAAATAAGAAAAACAAAAAAAACAAAATAAGCCAATCTTTATGTGCATCATTTTAAAAAGTCCGATGCACATATTAGTAGTCCACAAGCTAGGACATCTTTTACTCACTCGAAATCCATCCCCTACGTCATTCTCTGACTTTCTATTATAGCTTAAAAAAAAAAAAAAAAAAAAAAAAAGCAATCTTTATGTGTCATAAAAAGCGATGCACATATTAGAGTCACAAGCTAGGGAACTTTTACTCATCAAAATCCCTACTATTCTCTGACTTCTATTATATGCTTAGCAATACAATATAAAATCTTTTCTTTCTAAATTCTTACAAGAATCATGTTGGTAATGGTATTTTGAAAGCAGAATAGTTGGTTAATACTTCAAATTCATCTAGGTATGACCACAGCCTCGGCAGTAGTGGACCATAAGTAGTGGGTCCCAAAGACAAATAAAGGAGAACAGTGAGTCAACAAAATTATCAAAATAGGGTACAAAGGAATAAGTGGATGTCATCTTAGTTTAAAGAAGAAAAATCTTAAAAGAAATGCCTAATAACATAAAACGTCCTATTGAAGGTCGGGCATATCCTTGCCAAAATATTCTATTCCTGGAGATAATCTGTGAAGGCCAATTGGTTATATAGTTTCACCAAAAAAACTCACTCAGTCGTAACATTCAGAAACCAGAATTCCAATCATGACATCCATCCTTTCAAATTAATGCTTTTGAATGGACAATTCTTAAGAGAGAGAAAGAGAGATGCTTTCACTCTTCCACATCTTAACTTAAAATAGCAAAAAAGAAAATAAAATATTCTTCAGGTATTCCAAAATAGTTCATCAAGTCAGGCAACCAACATTACCATGCACATCTTTTGACCTATGTGATCATCACCCTTTGTAAAAATCCAAAGCCCCGATTCTAAAATCCATTACCCTTTTCTGCAAAATTCTGAAATTTGCTGTTTCATAGATGGAGAGTTGCTCTCACATCTTAAATCAAATGCCATGGCAGCAAGGCCAAAGCAACTGGCCTTCATTATAATAGTCGAGGGAGTTTATTAGGGTTTGAATCTTCAATGGACGTTGCTGCTGGTGCTTAGAAAGTTCTTTTTCACCTACTCCTAGGAAGAGATCTAGCAAAAATAGGATTGGTCTTTAGCTCAAGATAACATGCAACTGTAACTAATTGTGAGGAAGTTCTTGGAGATTTTTCAACAGGCAGACCTTGCATGAGTAAGGAAATTGTTCATCTAACCTAACCAAAAATTGGTCAGACCAGCACAATCCAACAAAATAAGTATTTGGATTAGCATACTACTCCCTAGAGATACTTTTTACGTTCTTGCTTGGGTTAGGATACTTCATCTTAGCAATATGTCTAAGTGACATCTCAAATCAAAACCACTTTGTCTTAAATTTACATGAAAATGAGCAAGCACGAAGGTGCTTGAAAACTTCTTATTGTGATGCCATTTCATTTCAAAATCCATAAACTCCAAAACAGAATTCAAGTTACAATAAGGAGATAAAAGTCAGCAGATGTAGTACGACATGAACCACTTCATTTACTCGGTTTTTCATACTAAAAATTCAAAACAAAAGAAGCAGAAATTGTATTATCCTTACTTTAATTGAGTTGTCTGCTGATGCGCTCATCAACACAGGCTCATTAGCAAAAAAGTGCAATGAAATTATTGAATTATCGTGGGCCTCTCTTATGACTGATTGGAGCCTTCTTTTCTCAAGATTCCATATGCTTATAACACCAGATGAACCTCCAGATGCTAGAAGAGGTTGTCCATCTAAGGGGGGAAAACAATGAGGCATTATAAATTCATAGAGGCCCCAAAATAACAAGAAGTTCATGAGCAAGCATAAAAACTAAAATGAGATGATAAAAGTAGTATATCAGTATATGAAACGACGATAATTAGCTCCAAAAGACAGCACCGTTATAATGGAAAAATGAAAGGAAAGCCATCAAAGTTACTTCAACTGCTCATTCTATTTTACAGAACCCCAAGGCATTAGGATGAAACAAGGATAACCCCTAGAATTAGTGAAAAAGATCTATGCGATTTTGAAAAATAACCCAGTCAAGCTTCAAGGACCATTCCATGTTTGGTATTGACACCAATATCCAAGTGTACACAGTTATTTCCCATACAATTAATAATGTAGCAAATAAGCATGTTTGATACTGATTTTTGCATACGAGTAAACACAGTTTTTCCCTTGCAATCAGTAATGACTGTTCTAAAGCAAATGCAACTTGGTTTTACGGCCCACAAAAATTGGATGTCCTACAAGTGGCTGGTAGAAAGTTCATATATATTCAACATAATGGTATACAATTATAATAAATCACAGGTTCTAAGCAGTTAATTACCAGTACTGAAACACAGGGCAGTTACTGCTCCTCTTGTTGAGTTAGAAAAGGTAACCAACTCTTCATCACAGCGAATATTATGTACATGAATCTTCCCATCAGCACAGCCGACTGCAATAACATCTAGTGCAGGCGATGACACACAACTGGTAATAGAGGAATTCCATCCTTTAAACTCGTAGAGCTTTTTCTTAGTGCTAATATTCCAAAGCTGCAAAGAACCCTCCCTACTCCCAACAACAACCTGTTCACAATACAATTTCCAAGCTTTCCTCATTAAGACAATGCACAACTAAGGCCTATGAAATTTTGTTAAATTCATTTGGAGTTCCATCATGTTTGTTATCATCTGACTCTCATGAATGTAATTTTATGGAATTCAACATAACTAATCAAACTTTTTCACGAGTAAATGAGTTCCAAATTTTCTTCTCAAAAGAAAAAAAAAAATTCCAAATTTTCAAATTCATTTATAACACAAGAAGGGTAAACTTACAAACAATAATATAAGAAAAGCTAAAATAACATTACCTTGTTTAGATAAGTATCTGGGTGCATTAAACAGGTGGGTGTAAACTTATTATCTAGCATGATATGTCCAGTGGGAGCAAGATTCTGCTCAATTCCTTTAAAAGCCCAAATGAAAATATTACCATCGACATCTACACTTAGAATATGATCTCCAAACAGCAACAACAAATTAACTTTAGAACTATGCCTGCTCCAAGTTGCTACCTGCCAAAGAGCATCACTTTAAACGAGAGTAATCACTTCTAGAATTTTTTTTCTTTTTTCTCTTTCGGCCAAATTAAAGTACCTGATGAGCGCGCTTAAAAACAGCAATGTCGTTTCCATAAGCAACAAAGGTGAAATCACGATATGAGGCAAGAGCTCGAATCTTCTTAGGAAGTTGAGGGCTAATCAGGACCAAATTGAGCTTGGCACAGTTATAGACCTGAAAAGCTTTGCCTACACTCACTGTCACGAAAGTTTCAGTCCCTAGTCGCTGGACAGAGAAAGGCACTGTGCTTGTTATATATCCAATCGCTCTATAGGGTTCAAATATCCCCATATCTCTCTATAGCAAACCACCCCAACAAATTCAAGGAATAAAGCAGTAGTAGTAGTTATTTATTTGGACGGCCACCGGAGAAAGAAGAGATGTTAGCGATTTTATGGCTGTGTTCGGTGTTTTGAAAAGAGGGGTGGCGATTGAGAGGGAGGAAGGGTTTTGGTTCAGGGTTTTTGGATGCCTTCTACAGTGCCGCTACAGTGGCGTCAACATATGATAGCCGTTTGATGTATGCTTTTGTTATAGGACGTTGATGTTTAAAAAAGTCAAAGCACAGCATTCGGTTGGGCCGATTCCATTCCGTCAAAAAATAATCAATTATAGCTTGGTCTGAGTTTCATTAATCGACTAAAATTCGATTAAATAACTTAATGGAATTACTCAAATGAACCTACGTCAAAACTACATCGTTTTACTAAATAGTAATAATAATAAAAATTTCTTTTAACTTCTATTTCATTTAACGGTTTCATTAAATTCAATCAGTTAATTAATTTTTCAAAAATTTTCAACTTTAATGCGATTAATAGTGAAAATTAATTCGGTAAAAAATATTCAATTAATTTCGATTAAAAAATTAGTTTATAATATTTAGCGTATATATAAATGTAGGAAGAAGGAAAATTACAAATTTACCTTAATGATATATCTTAAAATATCTTTTATAATGGCCAATTAAAAAAATTTTAATTGAAAAATCTTAAAATATACTTAATCATGCTCAATTATTAAAATAGTCTAATAATTAATACTAATTTTGATTAAAAAGTAAGCCCCAACAAATTAAAAGATATAATAATAATATTAAAATGAGAACCGAAAAAGTATTGAGATTGATAAAAATATTACATGTTAAATTTAGAGATGTATAAATAATATCTTCAAGAGTTTTAAATTTTATTTGTCGAAAAATTAAAGAAATCACTCCTTAATTGAATACTATTAATTGACTAAAAATTATAATTCAAGAAATTTATTTTTATTGTATTAATGAATTTAAATTAAATTTAGATATAAATATTTTGAAAATATCTACAACTTAATATGTAATAGTAAAGTAATAATGAGAAAAGTCATCTCTAAAAAAATCCTAAGTTAATTTAAATTTAAAAATATATTACATATGAAATAATTTTTTCTAGTTCTTCTTATGAAAGCAAATAATTTTATTTTTTTTATTTTCATTGTGGAAAAGAATATGTTTTTTTTTTCTTTTCCTAATACCCTTAGAAATAATTGGATTATACAATAAAAGAAAAAAATTATAAATAATAAAAATAATAAAATATTTAATCAATTATGTGAAATTTAATATCTTTGTGAAATTTCTACAAATAAATCTATCCAATTTTTTTTTTTTTTTTTTTTTTGATATAAATATTTTTGGAAACATATCTACAACTTAATAATGTAATAGAAAGTAATAATTGAGAAAGGTCATCTCTAAAAAAAATCCTAAGTCTGAATTTAAATTATATAAATATTATTACATATGAAATAATTTTTTCCAGTTCTTCTTATGAAAGGCAAATAATTTTATTTGTTTTTTACTTTTTTCATTGTGGAAAGGAAATTATGTTTTTTTTTTTCTTTTCCTAATACCCTCTAGCAATAGATTGGATTATTACAATCAAAAGAAAAACACAATTATAAAATAATAAAAATAATACAAATGATTTAATCAATTATGTGTAAATTTAACTATCTTTGTGAAATTTCTACAAATAAAATCTATCCCTTTCCAATTTTTTTTTTTTTTTTTTTTTTACTTCATTCCACATCCAAGGTAGGCCTTAGCTAACTATAGACGACGAAGAGGAATCAATAACATCCGTACGGCAAGCGCGCAGAGTAAGCTACAGAATTATGCAAGGGTTACTACCTGAGTAGGGGTTTTTTTTTTTTTTTTTTTTTTTACTTCATTCCACATCAGGTACCTAGCAATATAGAGACGAAGAGGAATAATACATACAGCAAGCAGAAATAAATTATGCAAGTCTACCTGAGTAGGGGTGATTATAAAGAGCCTGAGGGAGATCAGTGGTCTACATTGCACTGAGCAAGGGTTTTGGTCTAAGGTTTCATATGAAACCTATATTTCTTCCTAAATTGAACTGGTTTGCATTGATTTTTCTGTATGCATGGTTTTTTTTTTTTTTTTGGTTTTTTTGTTTAGTCTCGTGAACTTAAAAAAGATAGCATTGAATGAAACAATATAAAAGTACATGTAATTCGATGGAATCGATACGATATTAAATTTCTTTTGATTAGAGTCAGTTTTTATTTTGAAATTTATCAAGTAACACTATTTGATTAAACTTGTCTATACTGGATTTATGGTTTCATCTATAAATTGAGCAAATAAAAATAAAAATTTTTTAAAAGTTGTTAATACTTTATTTTTTAAAATAAATTTTCATTATTATAGTCTAAGCATTAATTTTTGTTAATGCTTTTTAGAAAACTATTTCTCAATTTAATATCATTTCAAAACTATTTACCACTTTAATGTTTGCCCTAACAAGGAGATAAAGTGTTACACTAAAACCGCCAATTGAGTTTGTGGTTTCAGTGCAATAGATAAGGTAACTCATGCTGACAAGTAGTCAACAAAAAATAGTTATATGAACAATTAATAATTTTTATTTTGTATTGTGATCATCAATCCAATTGGAGGTTTCAACACACAATGAAAATTTTAAATTGTCAATTTTTCTTTTTACTAAAACAAACAATTCGTTTTGTGTTTTTAGTGCAACTATGGGTTCTAACCACTAGTCAGTAAAAAGTACATGAGAAAACAGTGTTTTGTTAAGAGTCCACCAGATTAATTAGTGATTTCAATAAAAAAATATTTATTCACTCAAAATATTTTTTCACTAAAACACATTTATAATCTGGTGGTTTTAGTTCACAATTATTTCAAGTTAAGTAATAGCAACATAAATTTCTTTACACATCTAAAAATTATCGAGAATAATAAAGTGCTTTGAATTGAACTTGTATTATGTTAAAATGTCTTAATACCTAATATATGGAAAATTGATCATATTAATGTTTACCCACATGTCCTCCTGTACCACATTTTGAAGGCCTTCTATTACGACAAGGATCTCGGCGTATTGCATTTTCTCTAATACCTTGATATTTTTCTCCATGCTAAATATTCATATCGACACTTGTGCAAGGAACTTGAACTACACTAACAAATGGTTGTTGTAGGTTAAAAAATGTTAGATGAGTCTATTGCTCAAGTACCATCATTATCTCAAAAAAATTATTAAATGATTGTCTAGCATGAGATGTAGATCCATCACATGTGCCGAAACACACCGAAGAAGTATTCAAAAGCAGATATTGTATATCGAAATGGCGATGCCTCGCCTATTTTGGAGAAAGAAGTGTGGGTTTGCTAGGTTGCTATCATCGAAGTGTAATGATTGTTCAACGTAATTTCTAATGTTGCAGATAATATACTCCACTCAGGTTGTGATGCAGAAGATAATGTGCTAGGAATCTTAGTGCGATAATCTTCATAATAGTTATATGTCATAGGGGGAGAGACTTGAGGCATATCGTCTATTAGTGGGACCTCAACTGAAATACGTCCTAGATGTCATTTTACATCTCTTTTGCCTGTATAGTTTTTTTGGTGTTTGAACATGAAGAAACTCTATAGATGGAGGAGCAAGTTGAAGCATAAGGTGAGTTTCATTACGAATTTCTTCATACATTGCATTGACTAGGCTAAATAATCTTCGACGGAATGATGGATTTCTACGTATTGGTGATGTTAACTGTGATATATGTGTTGGAACCCATTTGTCTGTATTAAAAAAATATTATGAAAATGAAAGTAAAATTTATTATTCAATTAGATTAAAAAATTACAAGATAAAATAAAAAGATATCGAATAATTACTGCAACTCCAATTTCTGCACCTCGGAATGAAATCTAACATTTAATTCATTGCACATATCAAATGTATTGCACCAAAACCATCAGATTATATGTGTGTTTTTGGTGAAAAAATATTTTGAGTGAATAAATATTTTATTATTGAAACCACTAATTAATCTAATGAACTCTTAATAAACCACTATTTTTCTATATAGTTTTTGCTGACTACTAGTCACATCCCATAGTTGCACTAAAATCACCAAACAAATTGTGTGTTTTAGTGAAATAGCAAATTAATAACTTAAAATTTTCATTTTGTATTGAAACCACTAATTGGATTGGTGGTCTGAATACAAAATAAAAATTAGAGAAATTAATTATTTAGCATCCGATGTATGACGAAATTATCCAAGTAATTCCTTCATTTTGGATAAATATTCAGAGCATTCGTTACGTTTGCATCCGTCACTCTAAGAAGTCCCTCTCTCCAATTTCCTCTGTTTTTTTCGTAAAGTGACATGGAGGGGACAAAAACACCCTTTGGCCATATGAAAGTGACAGATCATTCTCTCCCTCTCTGCCATCTCGCCGGCACTGCATCCTCCACCATCGACTTCTTTGCCATCAATATTCTCACCCCTGCCATCTTCGCCATCTTCAAACTCTCTTCCTAACCTCTCCACACAAACCCCCTCGCCTCCACCCCCAAACCTCCACTCTCTTGCTTACCTTCCTCGTGCCGCTCAATGCTGATTCCGTCCTTACCAGCTCATCCTATGCCTCGGCTCAACTGACCATGCCGTCGATTCGGCTCTTGCTATCGACTTGGGGCTCTAGCTTGTCCACTTGGACGCATCACGGACTGAGGAGATCGTGGATACAGTGATGGCTCTATTTATTGGCTTATTGTGCGCAGACTCATTTGCTCTCTTGCCATGCGTTTTTGGCTTTTGGATGCTTTAGCTTGGTGCAACTGCTATGTCGAGGAATGAGAAGATACAGAGGACTGGTTCTAGGGATCGTTGGTAAATTTGCATCTAGTACTATTTAGTAAAACGATATGAGCAGAATTAATTTTCTATTATTTCTCAAACCTATAAATACAGCAGTTCCCTATAATAACATAACAACTACAGCTGTACAAGATAAACAAAATTTCGAAATATAAACAGTTACAAAAATAAGAGATAAAATCTATTGCTAGCTGTTAGCTCAATACTCCCCCGCAAGATTGTAGTACCTTGCGTACACCAATCTTGAATCGATTAGCTGCAAAGATGTTCTTGGACAACGGTTTGGTTAACAAGTCTGCA